CCCGTGGGCTGTGGTGTCTTCGGCGTCCAGGGTGCCGGAGTAGTCGCGGCGTCTGGCCGGTGTACACCTCGGGGCCCGCGAGCACCCGGGTGCTGGTCGCCGCCTGGCGTCGGGTCGTGGTCGCCGGCGGAAGGGACGTGAGGAAAAGGCTCCCTGTTGCTGCCCTGCCGCGCGCACCGACGGCACCCAAGGGTCCCACCCGGCCTTCGTGGGCGGACTCTGAAGCCGCCATGAGGTGAGAGGCCGGGTTGGGCAGGGGGGCCTTGGAGTTTGGAGGAATGTCTGTCTGTAAAAAGTGCACAGATACGCGTCTCATATACGTATGTAACTTATCGTATGCACTTATGCACACCCCTATGCAGGAAAAGTGACATTTTCACTGAAAACGGAAGTGTATACCCAGGTGCTGAAGTTTTGACGCACAAGCGAGCCGCCTGAGACGGGGTTGCTGGCATCCCACGTCTGTCTTCTTGCAGCGGTTCTCAACCTGTGGGTCGCGACCCCTTTGGCGGTCGAACGACCCTTTCACAGGGGTCGCCTAAGACCATCCTGCATAGCAGATATTTACATTAGGATTCATCACAGTAGCAACATTACAGTGATGAAGTAGCCACGAAAATAATTTTATGGTTGGGTCACAACATGAGGAACTGTATTTAAAGGGCCAGAAGGTTGAGAACCACTGAGAGGGTCGCAGGCTGCACTGTGAGACCTCGGCTTCTATTCTTTGGCGCGAGAACTTGTGGCGAGCTCTGAGGGCAGGGTTAGCAGGGGCACCTGACATTTCCCCAAACTTTTTTTTTTTTTTAGAGAAAATTATTTTCTTCCTTTTATTGGTTTCAGAGAGGAAGGGAGAGGGAGAGAGAGAAACATCTATGATGAGAGAGAATCATGGATCGCCTGCCTCCTGCACGCCCCCTGCTGGGGAGCGAGCCTGCAACCTGGACATGTGCCCTGACAAGGAATCGAACCATGACCGCCTGGCTCATAGGTGGACACTCAACCACTGAGCCACCGAGGCCGGGCCCATTGAAAGATTTTGGTAAAATTACCAGTAATTAGAGGCTCATCGTGTTGAGTCTAATTGTCAGAATGATGCTATGGCTGGCATGAAGTAGTGAGTTTTAAAAGGATAACCAGAGAGGCGGGTAAAACACAGGTGTTGTATGCTCATTCTTAGCCTATCACTTCATATGTGTTACACTCCTAAAAATAATAGGAAGACTCCGGCAAAATTGTTAATATGAGATTTTTAAAAAATACATATTTTTATTGATTTCAGAGAGGAAGGAAGAGGGAGAGAGATAGAAACATCAATGTTGAGAGAGAATCATGGATCGGCTGCCTCCTGCACACCCCCAACTGGGGATCGAGCCCACAACCCGGCATGTGCCCTGACCAGGAATCGAACCTGGGACCCTTTAGTCTGCAGGCCGATGCTCTATCCATTGAGCCAAACCGGCTAGGGCTTAATATGAGATTTTAACATGTACAAGCTAGACAATCTTAATGAATAAAGAACTAGAACAAGTTGCTTGCTACACCAGCTTTTCACTAAAAATGGTGTGCTTTTTGATGAGTAGAATTTTTTATTTTTTCACGTGGCCCCACCCCCTTGTTCATGTGACCACTCCCCCCCTTCATGTGGCCCCACCCCCTTGAGACCTTGGATGCTCTCTGTTTGGGGGTGCCACCTCCCTGGTTGGCTGTCGCTCCTGCTCTCAAACCTGTCCACAGTCCCTTTGCCAAACTCCTTCCAGAAAATCGTTTGCCTGTGCCATCTGTTTCCTGCTGGGACTGTGACTGCTGGGGTTGAAAAGGAGTCAGGAGAGCAGTGGCCCCTCCAGAGTTCATGCAAGAGGTCCAGAGGGGCCTGTGGTGTCCCTAAAAGGCTGGGGGAGGTGAGGGTGGTGAGACGGGGGTGCTGATTAGGGAGTGGAAAGCCCTCGGGACAAGCGGGGCACACACACCATCACCCCACACTGCTGTGAGGAGCCGCTGTGGCCCATGATACAGGTGAGGCTGCTGCAGCCCAGAGAGGGCGAGTGACTTCCTGGAGGACACACAGCAGTCAAAGGGCGGAGCTAAAAAGGGAACCCCGGGCTGCCCACAGCCTGTGTCTCCTTTACCTGCAGCCTCTGGGTAAGTGGCCCCTCATGCTGTGGCCATTTGCTCTGATGGGCTTTACACCCCCACTCTGCCCCCAGCAGGCAGGGGCCCTGTCATTGCACCTGTGCCTCTGGGCGGACGTGCCTCTGTCATTGGTTGGCTGCCTCCTGCACACCTCCTACTGGGGATCAAGCCCGCAACCCGGGCATGTGCCCTGACTGGGAATCGAACCGTGACCTCCTGGTGCCTAGGTCACACTCAACCACTGAGCCATGAGCTCAGGCCATGTGAAGATGTAAAGAGAGGCCGGACTGATGTGGCCACCAGAAGCTAGAGGAGGGTGGGACCCTCCTCCAGAGCCTGCGAGGGAGCCTAGCCCTGCTGGCATCTGAATTTCAGACTTCTGGCTCCAGACTTGTCTGACAATGAAATTTTTGTTGTCCTGAGCCACTGGGTTTGTGGTAGTGCATTATGGCAGCTCTAGGAAACACCAGGAGGCTGCTGGTTCGATTCCCAGTCAGGGCACATCCCCGGGTTTCAGGCTTGATCCCAGGTAGCGGGTGTACAGGAAGCAGCCGATCGAAGTTTCCCTTTCACATTGATGTTTCTCTCTCACTCGCACTCCCTTCCTCTCTCTGTAAAAAATCAACTTAAAAATCTTTAAAAAGAAAAGAGATTTCCTTAACTTTCCCAGTTATGTGCTATGAAGAATTCATTTATTCAACATTATCTTTTTTTAAATATTTTTTTACTGACGTTTACAGAGAGGAAGGGAGAGGGATAGAGAGTCACAAACAGTGAGGAGGGAGAAACATCGATCAGCTGCCTTCTGCACGCCCTTTACTGGGGATCTAGCCTGCAACTGAGGTACATGCCCTTGACCAGAATTCGAACCCAGGACCCTTCAGTCCGCAGGCCCACGCTCTATCCATTGAGCCAAATCAATTAGGGCTCAAGGTGATCTTTTGAGAACCTATGTGTAGACACTAATTGCAGAGTATTTAATAATGAGCCAACAAAAGTCCTGCCCCCATGCAGCTTAAATTCTAGTGGTGGCAGAGGCGGTATGCATGAAAATTAAGTGGAATGTGTAGTGTGTTAGAGGTGGTAAGTGCTCAGAAGAAATGCAGGGTGTGGAATATGACTGTTCATGTTGATTCTTTCTCCCTGCCCCTGTACACTGGCTTCATAATAGTGACATATTCATCATACATGGGCCTAAATCTTCTATGAACACTTCTTTTTTAAAAAATATATATTTCTGTTGATTTCAGAGAGGAAGGGAGAGGGAGAGACAGAAACATCAAGGATGAGTAGATGAGAGAGAATCATCCATCGGCTGCCTCCTTCATGCCCCCTGCTGGGGATGGAGCCAGCAACCTGGGAATCCAACCATGACCTCCTGGTTCATGGGTCTATGCCAGCCGTGGGCAAACTACGGCCCTCGGGCCGGATCCGGCCCGTTTGAAATGAATAAAACTAAAAAAAAAAAAAAGACTGTACCCTTTAATGTAATGATGTTTACTTTGAATTTGTATTAGTTCACACAAACACTCCATCCATGCTTTTGTTCCAGCCCTCCAGTCCAATTTAAGAACCCATTGTGGCCCTCGAGTCAAAAAGTTTGCCCACCCCTGGTCTATGCTCAACCATAAGCCAGGCTTTTAAATTTTTTTTTAATTTCTCATTTTCTTGCTGCTCAATCTATAGTCCTTGGATCATTGTTGCATTTTGTCTTGTACGGCAGAAATCACTTTTCTCAAATGCCTGAAAGCAGCCTCACTTTCTCCTCTCCACCCCCTTACAATTAGAGTACGTTCCATGGAATGCAATAAAACCTCTCTGAACTGCATTAACCCTCAATTTTGAAATCCAAATGACCATGGCTACTGGCATTTTTTTCTCTTTCTATAAAGATGACTGTATTACCTGGCTATTTCGTCATAGAACCTTACCCCAAAGTCCCCAGTCAAGGGAATGCCTAGGGAGCCACTGAGATTCCGTATGCCCTGTAAATGCTGCTAAAATGCAATGCAATCAGCCCACATGGTGTGGCTCAGTGGTTGAGCATCGACCTATGAATCAGGAGGTCACAGTTCGATTCCCAGTCAGGGCACATGTTGAGAGGGGGGGGAGGGGAGGTTAGGGAGGGGGGTTTGCAAGCTCGATCCCCAGTGTGGGGCATGCAGGAGGCAGCCAATCAATGATTCTCTCATCATTGATGTTTCTCTCTCTCTCTCTGTCTCTCTCTGATATCAATAAAAATATATTTAAAAAATGATCCAATTTTAGAGAAGTGGGAAACACCCCTTCTATACATAAAACTGTTTTTATGAAATGTGTGATATGAAATATTTGCAGGAGGTTGTTCTAGCTTCTCATGCCTTGTTTTGGTTGTGGAGGTCACCAGCTTAGTCCCACTCTCAGGAGTTCTGACTTCATTGGTACGGGTGTTGCCCAGGAAACTGATTGCTCACACACCGCTCAGGTGATTGTAGCGGGTGGCAAAGTCTGAGAACCATAGATAATTTGGGTCTGAAGCCCAGTTTTGCAATTTGACCTGGGAGGCTGTGTTTTTGCAATTATCCTGTTGACCACTAGATGGAGCACTGACCCCGTGACAAGGATTTAGCCACCAGGATTTTGCAAAACATTCTTTGTAGGCCAAGTAGGCGACATCCAGGGAGCATTGAGGGATTGAAGGGACTAGATCGGGGACCAGGAATGTGTCCCGGTTTTAAGTCTCGCGCTGTATTATGTCGTCAGCACCCATCTCTTCTAAGTTCTAGGAAGAAAGCCACATCATCTTTGGAGCCGGACTGTCCGTCAAGTCCGGGAGACACAGCTCTTTAGATTCTCCCCATCTCTGTGTCTTTTCTTGGATGAGAAATGCAGAAAGTCACTCGGTGGAAAGGCCACACCCTCTGTTGTTTGGCTGCAAGGGCGAAATGGAATGAGGCTGTTTGGAAATCTCTTAATTGGGAGTACATATGGGCCTGGCTGGCGTGGCTCAGTGGTTGAGCGTCGACCTAGGAACCAGGAGGTCACGGTTGGATTCCCGGTCAGGGCACATGCCCGGGTTTCGGACTCGATCCCCAGTGTGGGGCATGCAGGAGGCAGCTGATCCATGATTCTCTCTCATCATGGATGTTTCTCTCTCTCTTCTTCTCCCTTCCTTTCTGAAATCAATAAAAATGAAAATGTATTTTAAAAAAGGTACATCATGGATTGGGTAGTAAGTAGCCAGGGGTGGGGGCAATATGGAAACCTTATGTATAGATTCATATTAGTAAATAGGAGAAAACAGTTACATTTTAAAAGATCGCTGCCTCCCTCACACACAGGCGTGTGATTTTTCCAGAAGACAAGTACCTCTGGGCTTCATTTCTCCCCCTTTGACCTCCAAAGAAACACCAACCTCCACGTTGCTGGGTCACGCACTGTTGGTTCCTCAAAGAGCCATAGGCTGACTTCCTGCAAGTGCTTGCCTCGTCGTGGTTAGGGGCAAAGTCAAGACACACAATTCAAGGAAAATTGTGCAAGAAAACCAGCCTCACAAACTAAGGTGTAAGGACTGGGTCAGTGTTGACGCCATTTGGACTTTTCCCCCCCAAAGGAATGTATACACCATGTTCTTCGCGAAGGTCCAACTTACGTCCTTCCTAGAACAAAGAACGCCAGCTCACGCAGGAATGACGCTGGCAGTGTTCCAGAGCAGGGGGTTCACGCAGGGGATCTGAGATTTCCGTCACAGCTATTCATCCACCAAGCAGGCTCTGAACTCCGAGGTGCCGGGAACCACCCTATCCCACAAGTTGTACCAAGATCTGTGTGAGTCAGGTTTCCCTAGGGAAAGAGAATCAACACACACACACACACACACACACACACACACACGAGTGATGCACCATATAATGACGTTTTGGTCAAGGATGGACCACATATATGACGGTGGTCCCATAAGATTATAACAGAACTAAAAATTCCTATTGCCTGGTGACATCATAGCCACTATGATGTCATAGCCACTATGATGTCATAGCAACTATGATGTCATAGCCACTATGATGTTGTAGCCGCTATGATGTCATAGCCACTATGATGTTGTAGCCGCTGCACTGTTTACATGTTTGTGGTGATGCTGGTGTAAACACACCTACTGAGCTGCCGGTTGCATACAAATACAGCACGTGTACAATAATGTATAATAAATAATACTTGATCATGATGATAAATGACTACTTCCTGGTTTATTATTTACTAGATAATATACTTTAAAATGTTTCATGTTTATTGATTTCAGAGAGGAAGGGAGAGGGAGAGAGAAAGAGAGAAACATCCATGATGAGAGAGAATCAGGGATCGGCTGCCTCCTGCACACCCCCTACTGGGGATCAAGCCTGCAACCCGGGCATGTGCCCAGACCAGGAATCGAACCGTGACCTCCGGGTTCCTAGGTCAACGCTCCACCGCTGAGTCATGCCAGCCGGGTACCAAGTTGGGTTTTAATCGTATGGCAGGGCGCTGGGGTACCAGGGGAGCCTCCATTGGGAAATGGGATGAGCAGAGAGTCTGACATTCTAGAAACACAGCAAACCTTTCCAGACACGTTCCCCCCACCCCCATCCCTCCAGTCATCCTCATTAATATTAGAAGACATTTGCTGCCACTTTAAAAGATGAAGCTTTGTAACGTGTCTGTAACTCGGGCGGAACAAATTCATTTCTTTCAGGTGGATGCATAGCAGCCGTGGGGGAAGCTTCCTGCAGACGTCTCGACCCACCCAGCCGGCGCCAGGGGACCCGTTCTTCCCTCCCTGGGGACTTCGGACAGGGTAGGTCCTTCAGGAAGGTCTCTGTACCACCACCGAGGAGAGAGGAGCTGCCCCTCTTACATCTCTCCCAGGCGCCTTCTCGAGCAAAAGACTTTGGGTTTAAGCGCAAA